CCCCAAAACCCCAAAACCCCAAAACCCCAAAACCCCAAATTTTAACTTGCTAATTGAATCTGAACATAAGTGTTATACTTGAAAAACTGCAATGCTCAATTAAGCCAGATCGAGATTATTCTCAGCCATGAACTCGTCAATAGCCTTAGGAAATCTTTCCATCTTGACATTAAACTTTGGCTTGATGTCTACACTAGGACTAGCTCTCTTCGGCGGTAATGTTGAGGAAAGAGATATTTCTGTAGATTGTGTATGCTTCATGCCAAACTCTTTCCTCAATGATATCGGTATCTTTATATTTGCTATGAAGTCAACTACAAAGCCTACCGAAATACTCAGAGTTATCCTCTGCGACCTTTTTAAGAGAAGAGTTATGAGAACTATTATGGGATAACTCTAGATGTTTTTGCCTCACAACTCTTCTAGAAAACCTCTCTGGGATATGCTTTTGGTACTGATCCAAGCTGTTTACTTTATAAAAGGTTTTGCCATATCGGTTCTTGCCATCCATTGATTTGAATACATTGGTGGTCGGAATGAAGCGAGAGTATTTTGAAACCCTCCCTGAGGCCTTTGTTGAGGCTATAATGGTCAAATCTCCTATCTTACACATTCCATCTTTGGTGTCTTTATTTAAGACTTTGATCTTTTTGAATTTAAATTCAGAGGTCTGGATGCTATTTCTCAGCATTAGGACTTTCAATAGTGTTTCAGATCTTTTTGATGCTCATTCCTCCAATTTTCTATGAAAATTTAGCTGAATAGCAAGCTTACTATAGCTGAATGTTTTTTATTTAGGAAGGGTTATGAAGAAATTCCTTTTATTTGCAATCTTATATTTTTCCTTCAGTGGTTCTAAGAATTAAGTGATGAAATACTGCTTTTAAGATTCATCTTTTGGGATCGTCTGAGCTTCTTGATGACTCTAATTTTGGGTTTTGTTACCTTCAAATCATGGCTTTTCTTCAGTGATTTCTTGAGTAAAGTAATTTGGTTAGTTAAAGTATTCTTTGGGGATAAACGATCATCCATTTTTATAGTCAATTTCTTCCTCATCTATAATATTTCCAAAATATGTTACCTTATTCCTAATAGATTTCTTATCATTTTTCTCTAATCTCGAGCTCGAAGACACAATACTCGTATCCACCCTACTAGAAATCCTTTCACGACTTTCTACCGGCTTAATCTTCTCACCCTCACTAAAATAAGGCACTCTTTTCTGTTTTACAGACTGATTATAAACCTCTCTCTCTAGCCCCTTCCTCTTATACTTCAAACTCGGGTCATCATCCTGCTGCACCTTCTCAATATACTCCACCATCTACATCTCCCACCTCCTCACCTACCTTCTTCTTATGCTTCACAAATCTTCTGCAGTGATACCTACTAATGATCTCATCCATCTTAATAATATCGGAAGCTTGCTCAAGTGTTACCAATGACTGGTACCGCAACTGTAAGAACTCCTGGATCCTAAATAGCATGAATGGTTTTCGCTTGAAAAACATCCTTGACTCTTCTGCCAAGGAAATAGCTGAAGCAGCCGTAGTTATAAACATGGACATTCAAAGGGAAATATGAAAGAATTCTTACAGAATAAGCTCTTTTTCAATAACCTCGTCCGGAGTTTTCGGTAAAAACTTGTGCACAAAATCTAGGAATTATTCCTGAATTTACCTTTTGATGGGATAAAATAGACAGTACCGCTTGTAGAAATACATGTTGCGTTCATTGTCCTGGTAGTTAGGGTTATACATTCCTGGAGTCCAAACATTTGGTTCTGGCCCAGACGTGAAACTCTGAATTTATTCACAATATTGTTATCATAGATACTTTTGGATAGTTCAAATTCACCGTTTTCTATTAAGTATACTCCATCTGGGAACTCTCCTTCAGTGTATATTCTCTGGTTCATACAATATTTTCTCTCGAAGAGATAGAAGCTAAAGCCTTGATTCTTATAGCCTACCTTAGCTTCTTGAGGGTCTTGAATTTAAAGTGGAAAAATATTCCAAAATGTCTTAATAAATCCATTTTGTGCTTAGTTAATACTTTTTGGGTATTACTATAAGTTTTCTCAAAATCTTTTCTATTTAGAATAGCGAAGTAGACATCCTTGCTTTTACAATAAACAGTAGCTGAGCGGGGCTGGTTTTCGATCAGAGCGAGTTCTCCGAAGCTCATTCCTTCCTTAAGTTCAGCCACTTCTTTTAGTATACAGATCTCGTAGTTCTTAACTTCAGTGTCTAAACTTTATTTAATGTACCAAACCGTCTAAGATAAGCTTCTTGGGGATTCCTTCCTTCAGGTTCTTCACTGGGAGGTGATGCTTAATTTTATCAAATATAAGGTCATCTTTATTCTTCTCTAAAAAGGCAACAAATTGCTTCTGGGTGAACTCCTTGTTGCAGGTTGTAGGCACCTTGATACCAACAGATCCTTTAATAACGATGTAGAAGCAATCTCCTTTGTCACCATAGTCGAACACTTTCTGGTCCTGGGACAGATTGAATGCTTTAAGGTACCTGAACCTTGAAAGTTGTGCAGAGATATCGTCATATTCATCAGGTGTTTCTAGTTTATTTGAAGAAATCAAGGTTTTTAAAGTATTCCTTTAGCTCTAACAGCTGCTTTTTACGCCTTCTATTTGGGTTAAGTTTCAGTATAGTAAAAATTTGTTGGAAAATAGCTTCTTTAGCCTTCTCATCATGTGCTTCAAAATCCATGAAATTCTTAGATTCCTCAGAGATTGTACGGTCTGAGAAATCAATTTGAGATTCTGCAGCTGGCTCATTGTTCCTACTAAATTTCTCGCCTAAGTAAAATTAGTAATAGTCAATGAAATCTTGATCAAACTGAATATTTCATCAAGAGGAGATTTTAGGGGTACTTACTATTTCTGATTCTTTAAACTCAGCATTCTCTTCGCTCGGAATCCGATTGAGCTAGCTGACTTCTTTAAAGTTCGAGGAGCAATACTCAACATTGTTTAATAAATTTATTAATTTTAGGTCTAAATTGGGGTTTTGGGGTTTTGGGGTTTTGGGGTTTTGGGG